ACCTGTGATTAGTTTCATGTTCAGTTCCTCCCAGGAATTATATTGTATAAATTATATCCAGATTGCCTTTTAATTTGAACATTTAATTTCATTTCCTTTTGGGGGGAAATCTTTTTTTTTACCCATCTGTCACTGGGGAGAAAACCACTGTTCCAAATTATCAGAATCACTTTTCTTTTAGACTAAAAGCTATATACCGTCCTAGGAATGTGTTCTATCTGCTTTCCGCTGAAGGTCACTCTAGCTATTACTTCCTCCCCGAAATGCTATTATCAAAAGGTAGATCAGGCCCCTCAGCTATTTTAGTCAGAAAAAAAGCAAACTAGTTTGAACACTTGATGGTTTTATTTTGTTCCGCGTATACAAAGCTACGATCATAACACTGAAGAAGTTATCTAAGTGGCTAATGAAGTATCTGAAAATGAAAGATCAAACTCAGAAGATTCGTGTAACGCAATACTTCAACCTTGATATATTCTCTACCGTCCTTTACCTGTCATTGTGCAGGAATCTACATTAAAATATTTCAGGCTTTCCCGCCTCTTCTTGAATAGAATCAGGGGTGCTATTCAGCAGGTTCTGGAGAACTGGTAGTGGAAATTTTTAGTAGTTTGGAGAACCAGCAAATACCACCTCTGGCTGGCCCCAGAGTGGGGTGGGAATGGAAATTTTGCAATATCTTTCCCCCAGGAGTGGGGAGGGAATGGGGATTTTGCAGTATCCTTCCCCTGGGGTGGGGTGGGAATGGAGATTTTGCATTCCCCTGCCACACCCACCAAGCCACACCATGCCCACCAAGCCACACCTACAGAACCGGTACTTAAAAAATTTGAATTCCACCACTGAATAGAACCAATAATGGAAAACCACTATTTCTTAGGTAATTGGTCCCACCATCAAGCTGATCTTTCCACTAGTAAGATTTTTATAAGTTTCTGCAGGAATCTACGTTTCAAAAATTTAAATGCATGATTCTGTGAGCTGCACTCTAGAATGAGCAAGAAGAGTTTCTGACCTTCTCTTGTGACATCCTTTCAGGTGGTTGAAAAGTACCTTTGTATCACCTCTCTGTTTCCATTTTTCAAAATAAAATACACTCAATTTCTTCAACCGTTTCTCACAGAACTTGGTTTCCAGTCCCATTAACAACTTTGTGGCCTTCTCTAAACTTATTCCATTTTTTATGAATCCTTTTTAATGTGCGATATCCAGAACTGGACATAATACTCAAGATGAAGTTCAACCAAAGCAGAATAAAATGTAATTATGATTTTCTACAATTTGGATATTATAATTACAAAAATTGTATTTAACTTGTTTATAAAGCTTATATACCCAGAAAAGCAGAGAATTTAATAATAAAAATGTACAGCAACATCACATTGTTGATTCATTGTTTGCAATCAACTACTTACCCACAATCTTTTTTATATTTATTAAATGTATAAGCCGCCCATCTTATGGTTCAAGGAAATTCTGAGCAACTAATATAAGTAGTATTAGAAAATCAGGGATCCTATCTCTGCGCACCTGATTTTTCTCTCCTAAATAAAGCACAAAGTAGTACATATAAAACTGCAAAAATAGCTATAATCATATCAATGTAGCTTGAAAATCTTAAGACACAACCTCAACATTAACAATAATAAATGGTTTTATGTTTCCACATGTATCAGTGGTAGGTACAATTGTCACTGGACTTGATGACCCTGTATATCACTAGATGGAAAGTGACATCCATTGGACTTGATGGGACTGAAAGTCACCAGATTTAGAATCCTTGCTTCTAGAACACCAAACTTCATGAACCAGTGAATCCAACTAACATAACATTTGTTTCAATTCTCCTAACAGTAGATCACAAACCCATTGAATTTGTTCTTTGTATTTTTAAATTACATTGTTACATCCCTTTTCTTTTTCAGGGATTCATCAACTGGTCTTTTATTCCAGGGGTCTCCAACCTTGGCAACTTTAAGACTTGTGGACTTCAACTTCCAAGGCTTCCAGAGCTTTGCTGGCTGAGAAACTCTGGGAATTGAAGTCCACAAGTCTTAAAGTTGCCCAGGTTGGAGACCCCTGTTCTATTCTGTGATGTCTCTTTTCTTCTCCTAAATGCTCAGAACCTGTTTCAGAATGTCAAAACCATGAGAGTTCCAGTGATGCAGAATATGTGCTACATTCCCCTTTGTTTTCACTTTGTTTTTCTTGAAAAATTTCCTTTTTCTAAAATAAAAATAAATAAATAAATCTTATTTTATCCTGCCTTAATAACTAACAAGAGGTCATTTCCTGATTCAGTTGTTTGACTTTTTCTTTAAGTACTGCTACGACCTTGAACTTGCTACAAAAATAACCCAGGTTTTCTAGAAGAAAACGAACATGTCAATAAAACAAGATAGAATAAGCCATGGTGGCGCAGCAGTTAGAATCCAGTATCACAGGCTAATTCTGCTGACTGCTGACTGCCAGAAGACAACCTGTCAACCTTGAGCCAGTGAGACTCAGACTGCCGAATGCCAGCAGTTCAGGTCTCACTGGCTCAAGGTTAACTCAGCCTTCCATCCTTCTGAGGTCGATAAAATGAGGACCCAGATTGTTGGGGGCAATATGCCGACTCTGTAAACTACTTAGAAAGGATTGTAAAGCACTGTGGAACAGTATATAAGTTGCTATTGCTATAAGTACTGCAGATCACAACTGCCGATTCCTTGCCATTCATTTTCATTTTTTGTAGAGTACCACAGCAAGGTTTTTCACTTCTTTTGTTGTTGTTCCTTTCTCCAACACTCAGGTTAGCAAAGTCTATATTTTTGATTTATAGAATTCCCCATCAAACCTCCCAGGCAAAGTCCTATTAGTTCTTCTATTTTATTTGAAGTATGGCTATTGTATCATATATAGATTTTATTCTACTGAAATGATTATTCCAGCAACATATAATAAACTTGGTGTCTGGAAAAAAAAAACGAATGCCAGCAATTTACCACGAGGTGGCATTGCAATACTACAATTGTTAAGTGAGAGTGAATGCAATCAACCAAACTTTCAAAATGTATCTTACTGTGTTATCAAGAGAAGTAGTACTATATATAAAAAAATCTTTAAAATACTTATTCAAACAAGTAAGCTGCATATGACAATTTTATTATTTAGCATATATTTACTATAAAAGATAAATGCCCTATGTAGGCAAATTCAACTCTTGCTAACTACATGAAAATAATCATGCAGTATTCACAACAACAATACAAAAGTGTTTTGCCACTGCCTTCTTTTAGGATGTTTTTGGGACTTTTGGTTAGCCTATAGCCCTAATATTCTTTAAATTGTCTCCCATCAAAGTACCAAGCAGGAACAAGTCTGATTATCCAGATGTATCTAAAACTAAAAGTTTAAATATTTTCTTCAAAGTGAGCACCCCAGTTTAAGGCAATGCTAAAGAATATTTGGATTATTTAACACCAACATATTAATGTAATACTGCTGTTAAGATTTTGCAGTCTTGCCTTCAACTGTGTAGAAGAACTAAGAACTGCCAGAAGAACTGCAAATTGGATTCAAAAGAGGCAGAAACAGATCATATTGTTAACATTTGCTAGATAACAGAAAACACACAAGAGTTCCCAAAAGATATTTTTGCTTTATTGATTACAAAGGAATTTTCCCCCAAACCAAAGTAAATGGTAAATAGCTCTTAAAAACATTTGACCACAAAAGAAATTGTATGATGAACAGGAAACATCAGAATGCCCCCCACACCCACGCGTGTGCAATCCCCAGCATGCACCCCGCCCCCCCTGCCCATGCGCACATGGCCCCACGTATGCCCCCTGCCCCATACATGCGTGCACCATTTGCCCCACCACCACGCATGCATGCACAGCCCCCCAAATGCACCCCGCCCCCTGTGCACACGCTCCCGCATGCCTCCTGCCCGTGCGCACACCCCCGCATGCACCCCACCCCCCACGCATGTGTGGTAGACACCTGAAGACTAGCTGGTTGGTGGGACGTGCGTGCGCATGCTGAGCTGGGGCAATGGCCTGCGCGCCCACAGAGAGGGCACTGCGTGCTACCTCTGGAATGTGTGCCATAGGTTTGCCATCACGGAACTACAAGATGATCTGCTGTTTGGATGACTTGCAAAGAAGTTTAGCCAAATTCTTGTAATATACCACTTCCACTAGGTAGTATAAACTATCTCCAGGGTCCTCTTTGAATTCCAGTTAGTAAAACAATCAAGGAAATAAATTATTGATCTATTTCTGTATGTAAGATTCTCTAAGTGTAAGAGCATCTAGCTGGTCACCATAAAACAGACTGTGAATTGGGTGAGTTTTCAGTCTGATTCAGCTTCAAGGTTCAAAAAAGTCATGTTCATACTTCCTTGCTTTGTAATCTAACTTAAAATATTTGTGTTTTAAAACTTATAAATTCTACCTGTTCCATTGATAGAATTTTGTGCATTCTAAATTGAAATGTGCATGTTTTATATTAGCCACAAGATGGCACAAAAAGACAAAATATTAGTATATGTACCAGAATTTACAGTCAACTAAAACAAGAATGACATTTTTGACTAATTATAGGCACATACTGTAACTCACCTTTAAACTTTTTTTACACATTTCTCACTGAATTCAATGAAATTTGTTTCCTCATTTGTATAATCAGAATTTCAGATCTGCAGGATGATTTCTGCATGTTTATTCATAGTTATTTTTGAATAAGCTCAATGAATTCAGTGACACTTGATCAGAGTAAACACTCAAATAATTCTTCACTGGAACTAGAATTGTCAGTTTCTTGGCCAATATCAATTTGCACCCCCAGACCTCAGCCACCTCCACTTTATAATCTTACAAATTACAACGTATGATCTTACAAAACCTGCGCTAGACATTTACTTACATATCTAGGGCCTGTAAGTTTTAGTACCATCAGTTATTCTTGAGATTCATAATTCTTGCAAGAAATTGACATATGAGAGTAAATACTTTCAGTAAACCAAAAATTTTAATTTTAAAATTAACGAACCAATAATTCAACATACACCCCTTTTCAATAAAGGTCAGTGCTTCTCCTTGTAGCTAATGGGCCATTGTTAACACAGATATGAATGAAATGATGTCTCTTTTGAGATAATCATTATTAAGAGAGTTTCATCCCATCTGAACTCTGTGTAAAGATTTTTTTAAAAGGACATGCAAAACCACAAAAATTATGTTCTTTTACTAGGTCCATAGATAGCCAGTGGGCCTGCTTGGGTCCCAGTGATTGACCCAGATTGGATTCTGCAGTAGAAATTCAGGTGCTGCAAAGCAATTGAAAGAGAATCAACATCATACTAGAAGGAAAGTTCTTTATAGAAACATTACTTCTTCTTCTTCTTCTTCTTCTTCTTCTTCTTCTTCTTCTTCTTCTTCTTCTTCTTCTTCTTATTATTATTATTATTATTATTATTATTATTATTATTATTATTTATTGAATTTGTATACCGCCCTACTCCCAAAGGACTCAGGGCGGTGAACAGCCAAATAAAATACATATAATACAAATGTTAAAAAACCATTAAAATACAATTAAATAATTGGCCCAGAAAACGAAATTTAAAATACCCCAAATTCATAAGACAAATTTAAAATTTAAAAATTTAAAAAAATTTTAAAAGAGAGGTTAGGCCATAAGAGGAGGAAGTGGCTATTCCATACAGCAATGGAGAAACCCATCTTGGTTTATCTATATTGTTCCTGTGAAAAATAATGTTGATTTCTCCTTTTGGCATTTAAAGCTGAATTTTTATTTAGATAGCAGTTCCCTACACATTCAAACAGCTCAAGAATAGTGAGATAGGTAAATGGACAGACAGACAGACAAACAAATAAATATAAACCCATATTAAAGTCTTGTAGTACTGACAGAAATTTGGGTTTCTGGAATTAACCAAATTGCCAATTATCTATAGTTGCCAATTACCATATATTTCAGAGTATAAGATGCACCTACCTTTTTTGGTGAGGAAAAGAAGAAAAAAGAAATCTCTCTCTGCCTCTAAGCAATTTTGCCTCCTTGCAGCAAACAGCAAACAACCTGTTTTACTTTCATTTTTGTTTTCAGCATAGCTTAATTAGCACAAGAGAAAAAAAATCTGCTCCAGCAGTTTACCTCTTTGCATCAAGCAGCAGAGCCTGCGCAAAACAGCTGAGAGCAAATCAGCTGAGAGTTGGGAGGCTGATCCAATCAACTTGGGCTAATTAGGCTGTGCTGAAGCTGAAAAGAGCTGTTTTTTTCTTGCTGTTTGCTTGCAAGGAGGAAACTGCTTCAAGGCAGAGGCCAAAGGGTGGGGGCCAGTGGGTGGGTGGGTCTACATTCGGTATATAAGACACACCTAAATTTTCACCCCCCTTTAGGGGGGAAAAATACGGTAGTTTTCTCTGAATTATGAATCCACACATAACTTACCAAGTCAGAGAATTTATACTGCCTTAACACTACTTCTATTTGACTCCAGTAAATCTCGCAGTACAGCATAGCAGCGAAATACATTTACTAAATATACTGCTCAAAAAAATAAAGGGAACACAAGCAGAAGACATCTGAGATCTGAATGAATGAAATAGCCTTATTAAATACTTTGTTCTTTACATACAGTAGTTTATACACAGCTCAAACAACTAAAGGGAACACAAAACTACTGTATGTAATGAACAAAGTATTTAATAAGGCTATTTCATTCATTCAGATCTTGGATGTCTTCTGCTTGTGTTCCCTTTATTTTTTTGAGCAGTGTATTTTCAAGCAGGAGCTGTAGTTTAGTCTCATTTTTTTTTCTACTTATCCTAATAGGATTACACCCTGGTTCCAGTAAACTGCAAAGGCCTCTCCCTATTCCGACAGTGCATAATCTTAATCCCAGTAAAACAATACTGCCATAAATTTCAACAAGCATGTTTAAGTTTCAACCTGCAAAATTATTTGTAAATATCCAGAGTAGATTACATGTCTTAACTGGATAATGGAAAACAAACGGTGATAAAATAATAAAATAGTTAATGTTCAGTCATGAAGCTGAAAATTCTGACAATGAACAGCAGCTTCTTTTGACAGTGACAATGAGAAATTGTGTACAAATATACATGAAACAATGTTCCTTACTACATTTAACCATTTTAAACAGGGCCACCAGAACTGGGCTACAAACACCAAGCAGTCACTAGATGGCAGCAAACAGATACAGAAAATTATATATTTAGTACCATCCCATAGACTTCTGCATTTTTGCAGTCTATATCTGGTAAGATTTGTTTTCTACTTGAAAACAATCTTACCTTCCTGGACCATGCAGAGGATAGATTAGCTCTGAAATCCCTCCAACCTCTGATTTTATTTCAGTGAGGATTTACTTCAAGTAGACTTGCTTGAGTTTTCATTGTAACAAAACAAACCCAAGTGAATTTGACACTTCTTTTCAGCAGGAAAAAAACTACACCAGCTGCATCTAATGTATTCATGTTTTTTTAAGATGGCAATGGTCACGTCAGATGGTTTACTAAGTGTAGGCAGAATGAATCCTGCTACCAAATCCCCCAATCAGAAGGCTTTCTCTAGAGTCCCTCTACAAATCACTGCCTATAGGTAGCAATTCGAGGTAATAGTAAAGGACTCTGTAGCCTTCTTGATGTTGGTAAGGGCTATCAGAAGTTACATATCAATCACATCTGGACTGGCAGGATCCCCAGTCTCAATCAAGAAATTAGCTGGTTTGGTTTCTGCCTATTTCTGCTTCTACTTTTCTACTTCTACTTTTGCTTTTCTTTGAAACAAATTCCATACTTTCCTCTAATCACGCTCTAAAGCTTTATTTCTAGCCCCCCACTAACACTTTGAGTGAAGGATTTGGAAAGGGCAGGGGGGAAGCATGTATCATGAATCATAACCCACTAGATTAGATAGCTACTGGGCTGATTGCAGACTATTTTCAAACCAGCACTCTAACTGAGGGAGGAAGGGAGGAAGCTATGGCTTATTGGATACTGAAAACTTTATTCATCACCGGACATTCTAATTGGGGCTACCAAAAAGAGAAACACACCACCAGCTGGATTGTCAGATTCCTCTATCCTCTGCCTGTCAATCCTTTAATCTTCTTGCTATTTCCTGAATCATTCATTCAGTCCTTAAGGCATTACAGAATACAGGAGACAGCAGCATGCACTGTTGGGTGGGAAATGGCCTGTCTCTCACTTCCAAAGAGATTTTTGTTGTATAAGCCACTGAGAACAAGTGAGCCTATTGTCAGAGTGTCAAAAGTCTCCACAAAAAGCTAAAGTGAATTTTTAATGGGAGAAAAGAAACATTGGGAAAGATCACCATTTTATATTTTTCACTTATTTCAACGGGTTAAATCATAGAGTAATCATAGAAAGAAAGTGGTTCAGAAGACTTATAGCATACATGTTTCTTTTTTTTTTTCATTTCTTTCTTTCTTTTTTTTTTTGGTTATACCTTACACTATCTTCTAAAATAACATAAAACACTTTATTAGGGGGGCAATGGTTCTTTAGATCTCTTGATGTTGCCATTCTATTTAATGAGTTATTAGTGAAGTTATAAAATGTTAGTTCAAATTCTTTGGGACCATTACAAAGATCTGGTAAAATATCTTTCCCGTCATTTCAATCTTGCCCACAAAGAATGGTGAAGAAGCAAGAAAGTTGCTTCCTTTGGGGGAGAGGAAGCAGTTCAAAAATCAGCCTGAAGCAAGTGTGTCTACAATTATCACCAGTGGCTTCATAAAGGTCAGTGTCACCAGATGCATGAAATTGTACACTCTTCTAACAGATACACACACATGAAAAGGAGTGGGGCTTCAATCACCCAATGGTTGTCATCTTATGAAGCTAATGACCACCAGTGCAGCTGTCCTTGGCCTGCATATGTTGCATGGCAGCACTAAAGTGCCACCATCCAGTTCCAAAGCCAGCAGAAAACTATGCTGCCTTAAGGAAGTGATGGGAGCACGTTCAACCCCTACTCTAATTCAGCAACAAAGCAAACTAGAGGTATATCTGCACTAGAAATTGGGAAGGAGGGGCAGGGAACTCTCCTTTGATGCCATTTAGTGGCAGCAGATCTATCATCCGGTCTTCAATGGGGCAATTGCTCCTAGGAATCAAAGAACTGGTTGCACTGGAGCTGTTTACCCGAGTTTATTTCACCCAAAATCTCCTGCTATCAATGACTGGCAGAAGCACATTAAGAAAGAACGGGAAGAAACTGGTTGGATTGAGGACAATGTCATGCATTCGTGTTCTAGAAAAAAGCTAAGTTGGACATCTTTCTGCTGGGACAAGAAGGAAGGGTTTATAGATCAAATTGATTTGATTTGCATTTTGGGAATAAAGATGATTGTGCTTCTCTCTTCTTTATATTGAAACCCCCCCCCAAACTATCACTGTGCCATATGTCATAGGTAAAACTCAAAGGTTTTGATTGATGAATCTTTCCCTTCCTAGCATTGGTTCTCTCTTCTCTTATTTCCAGTTATTATAAATGGGATTTGCTCTGTTGGAAATAGGCACAACTAAAAAATGATACTTATGAGAGCTGAAATCATAAGAGAATTACATTTTCAAATTAGTACAAATTTCCAATGAATAGCACTTCTGGGATTGTTTAAAAAGACTCCTTCCAGCAGTGGGGTGTTTTAACATTTCCATGTTTGGAGCCATGCACTAAATAAATACAGGTTTGGAAATTAACAGCAGCAGGAGAATAAAGAGAACAGTTCCTAGTTTCTATCAGTCTTTTTTTTTTTTTTCGTTTGAAATTCCAACCAAAATTTGACCGAAGTGAAGATCTAGCTACGGCTGGTTTATTCCTCCATCTGCTAAACTGATGCATTCTACGTTCAATTCTTTCGTTACTTTCCAGTTAATTTTAGTTAAATCGTTACGGGGAGGGGGAGGAAGCTGCAAATGCTATACTCACTGCACCATGAGACAATGTCCCCCCAACTATTTCAGAAGATCCTTTAGAAGAGATTTGTCCCTTTACGTTCTTCCTTTCCCCAATCACTCAGTTTGGCAACGCTGAGGTTTTTAACACGTACCACCTGTTTGGAGTTCAGACTTGCAACCGTGCTTTGATCAATGATTGCTTTCGCATTCTAGAGCAAACAGCGATTCTTTCCCAAGCATTATAAAAGGCAAAGCACCTACGCTGTGAATCATCTTCCTTCCACCAAGGAACTAGGAGAACAGCAGCCCTGTTACGCTAAAGGAGCAAAGCGCCACGCATGCGCACTGTGGTTGTTTTCCACAAAGCTTAAAATGAGCTGGCAGCGGCAGACTACTTGTCTTTGTAGAGAGACCACAGAGCTGGCGGGCAGGAGCTGCGAGCAGCATCTAATGCTGGTACTTTTGAAGAAATCCCCGATGAAGTGCTCGTAGAGATCACACTGATCCTGCCTGCAGCCTTTTTCGCAGAGCAGAGAAACTGATCAGTGTCAAGTGAAGATCGCATTTTTATATGAGATCTTGACTTTCCTTTCCCCTTTTTTTCTTATAGTGTATTTTTATAGACTTTTATTATATAAAAAAAAAAAACTAGTAACATGGTGCTGGGAAAGGTGAAGAGTTTGACAATAAGCTTTGACTGTCTTAATGACAGCAATGTTCCCGTCTATTCTAGCGGGGATACAGTCTCAGGAAGGGTGAATTTAGAAGTGACTGGAGAAATTAGAGTCAGATCACTTAAAATCCATGCAAGGGGACATGCGAAAGTACGCTGGACTGAATCTAGAAATGCTGGCTCCAACACTGCCTACACACAGAATTACACTGAAGAAGTAGAATACTTCAATCACAAGGATATCTTAATTGGGCACGAAAGAGGTAAGTCTTATTTTTTTATTTCTTGAATGTGAAGTTCTGACAACCTTAGACCTACTGTTTAATCCCGAGCGTAGTTATTCAAAAGAAGCTCCTTAATGCAAGGGAATTTGTTCTCCTGCATCGAAGTTCAGAATTAAGCTTCGTATAGAGCTGTGAAAAATATCAAGGTTATATTAAGGAAGGAACCCCGAGATCGTTGGTGTAGCTGCAATAAAGTGCTTCCATAAAGACTTTTTCCACCCCCCATTTTCTTTTTATAGAGATCCTTTCACTGTAGATCAAGAGGGCTGGTAGGGTTTTTTATTATTATTATTATCGATTTTGAAAGGATATATGTTGGAATTCGTTCTGAAGTATCTGATGACCAAAAAAAATGTGAAGACTGATTTATTAATCCACTCTTGAGAGCTTGCGAGCAGATCAGTGATGTCTTTAGGATAAGAGAATTGTTGATAGAGAAAGGGCTCCCTGCGGCTTATTTTGACACTTGCTTTCAGCACCCCACGTGTAGATCCGTGTTCCCATTTACAGAGGCTGGAAAAGTTGGTAAATTTCGCCGTATTCTTCTGTAATGCTTCAGCCGTCGAGACATAGGGAAAGCTATTTTGGGGAGGGGAACCCCACTCTTAAATGACCCTCATATTGAATTAGTAGGGCATCCTTTCTAAGTTGAGGAGTTCTATGATGTATGAACCTGACGGTGCCAATGCAAAGAAATCTGCCAAGGGAGAGAGATTAGCAAAGGGAAAATACTTTATCGAAGGGTAAATTAGTCTCCAGGTTGTTAATCTATTGTTTCAAATGGTGTCAGTGGAAGTATAGCAGAGTCTAAGGTTGTTTTTCTGAAGTTTCCACCCTTTGTTAAAAGCGGTTCAATCCTGTTTGGGACCGGTACTAGGGAGAAGGGAGGGGTGGCGCTCCTCACAGCAGATTGGTTAGGCGCGTCAGGTGGTGGCGATGACTTAATTCCTAGCACAAGAAAATGTTAAAGCAGGTTATGTAATTTTGGCTTGTTCTTTTTTTATATATATAGATATATATGCAGAAAATTTGCTGCAGATAGGAGAAGAGAGGTTAGACGATTCGCCTTAATTCGGTAGCATGTTAGGGTTTTGTTTTTTGTTTTTTATCTGAAAGAAGTTCCATGGAATTGCTCCCAAATGTAAGTGATGTTGAGGAGGGAGCTTATCTGAAAGGTATAGAAAGGCGGCAAAACTTGCGTATTGCGAATCATTTTGAGAACAAAATACAGCTTTCCTCCAGCGGTTGTGCAAAACGCAAGCCCTTCCATTAATAATGGCAGGCTTGAAAATCCTCCCCCCCCCCCTGAACTGCACAAATACGTGTGTAAGTGTTCCCGGGAAAAGTCAGGTTAGAACCCAGGGAAAACGATTTCCAGTTGCTTTTCAGATGCCCTTGTGATTGCACCTGCTTCTGTGGCCATTAAATAAGGGTGGGTTTTCAAATCAGTATTTATTTGTAAGAAACAAAGACCGATGGTGATCTACGCTTCGTAGGGTCGGGACCCTTGACCCAAGCCCATACGCGTAACCGAGCCGTATACAAGGCTGAGTTGTCCTTCTACGGGGTGGCTCAATTTCTTCATTCTTCGCCGCATCGCTATGCCGACGGCGAGCGGCTTCGAAGGCTGTTGACCCCCCAAAACCAAAGCGGGGGAGTTCCGATGGCTTCGCTGAGAAAGCAGACAGGAAAGAACCCGGCAGCCTAGCATGCTCGCCGAAGCCACGCCCAGCGCTCATACAGTCATTGGCCCGGAGAGGTTTGTTAGGCTGTTGCTAAGGCAATGCCACTTCTTGATTGGGAGGTGGGGAGCCGATAAAGAGGGGCGGGACTAAGAGCCGAGGTTCGTTAGCTCGCGGAGCTTCTGCTGCTCCTCAAGTGGAGTTGCGCGTGCTGTCGGAATGTGTATTCCTGGATGGCTTTGGTGGAGGGCGGTCCTTTGTCCTCGGCCACGCGAGGCTGGCGTTGCTGTGTGCGTGCCATCCGTGCAGCAATATGAGAAACTCTTGGCCCAGCGCAGAAAAAACCTGGCGTATGCTTGGGAGTTAGCAATAAAGTCTTCCTCAGCCGCTACCTCTGCTGGTTGCGGCTTCAGTTTCTGGGTAGCCTAGAATCTAGGGCTGCCTAGATTTCATTCTCTACTACGCCGGCACGATTGGGGTTTATTTTGGAGGGAAGCGTGCGTGCATAGCTGTGCAGCAAGCGCTTGTTGCCACGTCGTTTTCAGTTCGGTTGTAAATTGGGTGGACTTTAAATGAGGATCTCATGCGTTGTGTGCCTGCAAGGAAAGGATCTGCATAACCGATTTTCGGGGAAGGGGTGGGTTTCAAAATCCTTCATAGCAAAGGCCATCTTATTTCACCAAGTTTTGCGTTTATTAATACAATTACCCCAGCAACAATCATGAAAAATGCCCTACTTTTGCTTGGGTATCGATTTCGCAATCCTGAACCCACAATCTGGTGTCGTGAACAGCGAGTCCTAGCTGGGCGTTAAAGCCCATCGCTTCCGAAAGATCTTTTTAGTTTGCCCGAAGAATTGCCAGCTTTCCTTCCCTGTTGCCTAAAATGGGAGACAGATCGTTAGGGCGATTCTCATGGCAGAATCGAGTCTCATTCCGCAGGATCGTGACTTTGGAACCAAGTATAAAAAGGGGAGGGCGGGTGTTGGATTCCTACATCCTATCTAATGATCTGGGATCCGGATCAACTGCTCAAGACTCCAAAGCAAACCGTGAAGTATAGTAGGCTTGCAAAGAGGAACCTCGGTTTCCTTCTCTCCTCCCCCGTTCCCCTTTCCGGTATTTGTACTTCTTTACGTTTTTGTGTAATTTACCAGGGGGGGCGAATAAACTCTGCCCAAATTTGGTCACTTTTTCACAGAACGGCCAAACCGGTCTTGCCAATCCTTGCCCAAAGAATGGCAACCAGAAGGCGAGGACGCCAGAACAGTTCCCTCTTCCTTTGCTCCTTTCTCTCGGTCCTTCATGACGCCTCCAGTTTGCAAGCGAGGCGGAGGGGCGGAGCTGCTGAGCAAGTAGGCTGGCCGGGCGAGCAATGTATACTGTATGCATATGAACGGCTGGCTGGGGTTCTGCTCGCACCGGTTTAGGCCGGTCCTCTCCTGCTCGAGACTAGTCTGTGATTGACAGCCCAGCAGTTGTTTACCTCAGCCTGGCGGCGGCGGCGGCGGCTGCTACTCCGAAAGCTGAAGGGAAACTGCTGAGCTGGCAGAATGAGAGGGAGGAAAGCGGAAGGGGGGGTGGGATTTTCAGTATAATAAATGGGGACAGGGTCAGTGTGAACCAAATGTCAAAAAACACGATTTTAGGCATCTGTATAGTTGGTTTTTAAATTAAAAAAAAAATAAACCGCGTGTAAAATGAACGGGGGTTTTGAAGATGCCGTCAGCTATACTAGTGGGAATGAAGTCGTGTGGTTAGTGGTGGTCCAGATTTTTGCAGCCCAGATCTGTAAGCTTCAATTCGTGCCAAATCCTATATGTATAATTTTTGAGAATGGCAAAGAAGCAGCTCTTCCTAAAGCTGTAGAGGAAGAGGCCATTGTCACACATTTTATTCACTCCTTGCCTGAATAATTCAATTCCAAGACATCAATAACAGTGCTCTCTGGCTTGTTAACCGGGAGTGCTCTTTTTTTTTTTATGTTAACAGGGAGAAGTTATTTACTGATCTTGCCAATACTATTATTTTCCCCTAGGACATTTTCTCATCTTTTAGGACTACATTATAAAGGATTTGGGCCCTGGCCTGAGAAAACTATTTCTGAGGACAGGATAGGATCTGGATTTGCAGTGTAATTCCAAGAAAGAAAGAAATAACTGGTTCATAAGTGTAGAGCAGAAATTTGCCCATCCCTTTTATGGTAATACTATCAAAGTCTAAGTCGGAAAGAAGTTCCTTTTTAAATGAACCTTGGATCTTCTTTCTTTGGCTTGTGAGAAACAAACTGAAAAAAAAAAGATTTTTCTGATAGATATGTAGAATTTACCAACTATACTACTGTTAAATATATATTTTCAGAGTCACCAGTGACAGGTGTATAGGATGATAGGAGAAAAATACTTAAAGGTGAATTAGAATATTGAATGTTTCCTTTCTAGATGATGATAATTCTGAAGAAGGCCTCCATATCATTCATTCAGGACGGCATGAATATGCATTCAGCTTTGAGCTTCCACAGACGTAAGTATATAGAATACTCAGCCATGACATTTGGGTCACCCTGCAATAAATCTATAAAAAGCAACTTAAAGAAAGAAATAGGATGGAGGAAAAAAAACCCTTTTCAATGGTCACACAGATTGCACTAAAATATGCTACAGGGACATTGTCCTAATAAACAAGA